ATGAGACTTATCTCATCTCTTGTAAAAGGCCAAAACTGGAGCCCTTTAAAATAAGTCAGAACCGTGCTCTTGTGGCCTGACAGCACTCTGGCACATGGACTTGTGATATCACCTGGCCTTTTTGTAAATCTCAAATCTCAAATCTAAAAACATATTTACAGAATAAGCTTGTTTCTACAAAGTCATTCAGTTCTTTTCAATGACTCTTAAAATAGACACATACAGTACCTCAAGGCTTTGCATTGAAAGTACAGTCTTATACCAGGTGGGTTACTGAGCCAGATTGTATTAAAAAGAATGTACATACAGTATGGAGCTGAATGTATGATAAAAATAGGGATGTATGATATACTGATAAGAATATCTGTTTTGACTGGTGACTTTCCTGTGGTGTGATGCATCACACGCAGCAGACATGTGCTTTAGAAGTGTTTGCCGAAAGCAAAATAACATCTCAGTGCTGTAGGGGTTTTAAAAATATCAGAATTGTGATTTGTAAACGATACTGGGAATAGTAATAACAGAAAGATCTACTGTAGATGTTTTCTTGATTTCTGCATTTAGGGTTTTGAAATAAAATCATTAATCTGCCCTATGTGTTTGTTTGTGAGTTTTAAGGCAAAATCGGAAATTAATTATTACCAAAAATAAACAAAGATTTATTAGTGGCATATATATTGATTAATATATAGCACGGATAAAAAAAAAAGTTGAGTTATCATACAAGCTGTACAATATATCAATGCTGATGCATCCTTATAGCCCAAAAATATTTCATTATTATTTAATTGGTAAAAAGAACTGTATGAAAATATTTTTGATCAATAATCTGCCTTTTAATAACGACCTTTGTGTGACTGAATCATGAAAAAATTGTAGGTGTTTTACTGTCTATGAGTAACGGTTTTTCTAAATGGGAATGGTATGTGTACGATACAGAGTTTTGTTTTTTGTTTTTTCAAAATACACTTAATTTTTCGTTTATTTTTGATTTTTCAATGTGCAAAGCCTGAAATTACTAGTTTGAGAGAGTGAAAAATAAAGTGGAGACACGTTTATCCAGAGAAAGTAACGGAACAATATAAAATATACCTTGTTTCTCATACACTAAATGTATTTATACATAGATATAAAACATATGTATTTATTTAATTATAAATAAAGTATATTTGTAGGGCGACATGGTGGCTCAGTAGTTAGTACTGTCACCTCACACCAAAAAGGGCACAGGTTCAAGTCCCTGCTGGCTGGTTTTTTCAATAGTAACCAAACAAACAAAACAACAACAATAAAAAAATACATGAAATAAGAATAATACTAAGACAATCTTGCTAAAACTTTTGTTATTGTTAAAAAACAATTAGGGGGCGACACGGTGGCGCAGTGGCAAGCACGATCGCCTCACAGTAAGAGTGTTGGGTTGCGGTTTATTCCACTGTGGTGACCCCTGATTTATAAAGGGACTAAGCCGAAAAGAAAATAACTCCATAACAGACTCGTTTCAAGTAAATATTTGAGTGAGATAATTAACCAATGTCTTAAATTGAGGAATAGAATTTATATTTCACAGTTTAAGAATGACACTCTTAGCAATAATCATTCCACAAATTATGGTGCTTTGTATGGACATATTATAATCCAGCAGAGAACAAGAGTACCCAAATATGGCAATTTCTGGGTCAGGTGTAAAGGTAAAACCATACATACCAGAAAACCATTTAAATATGTCACACCAGAAATCATAATGTTGTGGACATGTCCAAAAGGGGTAGGTCAGGGAGCCTTCAGCAGAATTACACCAATCACATGTAAGGGAAGATGGTAGGAAAAATTCTTTAGTTTTCGAGTAGTGTCAGCTGGCATTTCTGTGTGGAGTTTGCATGTTCTCCTCGTGTACACAAGGATTTCCTCTGGGTGCTCCAGTTTACCCCACAGTCCAAAGACATGTGGTATAGGTGAATTAAATAAACTAATTTGGCCGTAGTGTATGAGTGTGAATAAGTGTGTATGGATGTTTCCCAGTACTGGGTTGCAGCTGGAAAGGCATCCGCTGTGTAAAAACATATGCTGGATAAGTTGGTGGTTCATTCCACTGTGGCACCCCCTGATGAATAAAGGGGCTAAGCCTAAAAGAAAATGAAAGAATAAATAATGTATATTTAAACTCACACATGTATTACATATGACTTTAACTGTATGTGTTAAATATGTAGATACATTTCTGCATTTGAGGGTGTCACGGTGGTGCAGTGGGTAGCACGATCGACTCACAGCAAGAAGGTCGCTGGTTCGAGCCCCAGCTGAGTCAGTTGGCATTTTTATGTGTAGTTTGCATGTTCTCCCCATGTTTGTCTGGGTTTCTCTCAGGTTTCCCCCACAGTAAAAAAAGACGTGGTATATGTTCATTTAATAAACTAAATTGGCCATAGTGTATGTTTGTGAATGCAAGAGTGTATGGGTGTTTCCCAGCTTTGGGCTGCGACTGGAAGGGCATCCGCTGCATAGAGCATGCGCTGGATGAGCTGTGGCGACCCCTGATTAATAAAAGGACTCAGTCGAAAAGAAAATGAATGAATGAATTTCTGCATTTGATTTTGATGTTGATACTGTAGGAACAAACACAAAAGAACAAAAATGAATGGGGTGAGGAAACGAGCATGAGCTGGGACTTATATCACTCCAATCCATGTATATGCCAAAGTGTTGGCAGGCTACAAAAGCACAGTTCTGACCTAAATTTATTTTAAAATCCAAATGAAAACTAAATCTACACTGTTTATTTAACTAGCACAGATAGTAAGTCTTAAAGTGAACAATTAATCCATGACAAATAATCCACAGTAGTCCTTCACTGATGATATTAGTCTGACAGCTTTGACAAAATACGTTTAGCCATGCCCTTTTAACCATTAGTTTGCTGTGAGTGAAAGATGAACTTCTGGTTCATGCTGATGTTAAAACTGATTAGCTAACTTAAGCATAGCAAAAAAATAATAATAGAAAGACGAAAAAAAAACAGAATGAAGGCTAATGACTGAACACTAATATTAGTCACATCTTGCTTAAATTTAGTATAAATTTAGAACTCAAATACCTTATATATTGTGTTTTGACAAAATTCTTGCATGTTGCCTTCAATAGCTTATTTTAATACATATTTTATAGCCTTACACATTAATGAGTCATCAAGTATGAATACAGACAATTACTGTTTTTTTAATGTGCTAAACTCTGGCAGGCTTCAGGTCTTACATGTGAGAAAGCCATGCTGGGTAAAGTATCTGGCAAATAATTCTAGAATTTCCTGCCTTTCATTGACCAAGATGTATGTACCAATACCCATGTGATCCAGCCAGTTGGGCAATAGCTTCCAAATAATTGGCTAAATAAAAAGAATGATGGAAACCAAGATGATGAACACACTCATGTGTTTCCAGACCGTTCCAAAAAAGTACTGTGACCTGATCCAGGATTGTGTCCCACACACCCAATCATGGTGTGTTTCACGAGTTGAGCTGTAAATCAGCTTTGTACCGCATGCCAACCCATACATTCAAGCATGTTTATTCAAATTTAACACACAAGTTCACATTTGCCAAGAAATAAATCACTCATCATCCCCTTTAAATAGATGTATCCAAGCTACACGTCTACATTTACAGTACATTGTGCTGTGGGGGTGCACAAGTTCTTCAACATTCCAGTAGTATCAAAGTTGAAGCAACTGCTCTAGACAGAACTGGTTACCAGAGGGTGGGGACTGAGCACACAACGAGAAATAATGGATACCAGATAGAGCTTTACTTGTGAATATGAAAACAAAGGATATTCTGCTGGGGTCAGCGAGCAGTAGATCTCCAGCACTGCCATTGAAACACATCCATGACTCATTTTTAACCTTTTGATACAAGCACATGGCGAGCATATACATGCGTTAGCCGTGCTTTGCTGACCGTGTAGAATTTGCCAATTAAATATGTAATTAAACCTAGCAATGCATGGTTAAGGACACTTACTTTTCTTCAGGATTGCTTAAAACTCTTAGAAAACAAGAAAAACTCTCTTTTTGATGCAACATTTCGATTAAATATTATATGAACAGAAGCTGAGCAAATATTTGAATTGAATATCATGATGATGCTTTTATGGAAAATAAAAATCTGACTTTCTGTACAAAGCAATAGCATATTATCAGTCCCTAATGTTTATTTTGAATTAAAGAGATAAAGATTAGAAATATGTATTTGTTTATGTCAAAACCAACATAAAAACCAAAATAAAAAAAATCCTTTTGGACTTTTGGATGTTTCTCCATCATATGCATATACATTTACTTGAAATAAATGCACTTCAGGTTCACTTCAGGTCTCTAGATCCCATAAAAGCAATTATTTAACTTACGAAGATTTAGTAGGATTGATCAAGGCTTCAAATGGAAACTGTGTCCATATGGTACGCTTGAGGCAAACTCTGTGTACATTCAATCTGGTCGATGCTGGAGTGTGTAAAAGAAATGCAGAATTCAGCAGAGGAAAAGCACAAAGCTTTTCCCATAGATGGAGAAAGGTTATCTTTACAATTACAGTTTGTCCTCAGCATCAAATAAGTCGCCCATGATATGAAAGATAGAATAGTTGTTGAACGCATGTACTGTCAAATAAGTACAATCTAAACCTGAATAAGCAGAATATTTATTTATGACAACATACTTGGAGAAACTGTGGTCGGTTTTCGTTTCCAATATCTACAAAAATAATAATACAACGTTAAGGTTCGAGTGGTGCTTAATGAACAAGCTTTGAGCAATGACACATTTGCAGGATCTCCTAATAACTTGATCATCACCGTCATCTTCTCACTCCTACGCAGCGCGCGCTGTCATCCAAATATAGTTCAGAAGCGTGTTATTTGCACCAGAAATCGAGACATTTAGCATATCTGTCCACAGTAAATCACACAAACCGCTGTTACAAGTCAACATTAACCAAGCCATCTCCTACCTATTAGTGGTTTGGGTGTTGTATTCCCCATTATTTCCAACAATTGCTCTCCCTCGGTGACAAGTGGATCGGGAATGCTCCCGCTCCTGGTGCGTCCATTTATTATCAGATATAAGGAATATTTTCGCACCCTCGGCTGTGTGAAATGTCTAGGCGTTTGATAGTCTCGGCGTCTTCATACTATCATGCACACAGAAGCGGCTTTTCAAGACATTGGCGTCTATTAGCGCATTGGCCAGCCAAACCCTCCCCACGCCTCTGCACGCGACGCAACCAACCAAACTACAATGCTGCCGCTGAAATCAATAAAACTGACCGCACTGCAAACGCGCTACGTCCTTAATCATGGGAGAGTGTTAAATAAAACTCGTGACGGAATAGAACGCGGGTCTCTCAAAAAGCTATTCTAACTTATCACGCGTTTTAAGACGCAACGCCAGTGACGCGAGATGCAGAAACACAATGGTAAGACGCAACGCAACGGCGTTCAAACGCGATGTTGATTCTTCCTGTTTAAACAGGGCGTTTAGGACGCGTTTCAAACAGCTGGGCGTGCGGGTGGTTTTCGAGTTGAACTATTTTTAACTTGATATAGCCTACTAATTAAGCGAGGCTAATGACGGGAAATGCGACGCAAGTGCCAAAGGCGCAATTGTTTTGTGACCAATATTTATAATGAAACGAAAAATAAATTTGCTTGTTGTTTATCATGCAAGTAATTTGTCACTAAATACGTTTTATAAAAGCCTACCTTTTACGAAAGTTAATCATGGTTTTACAAATACACATACAACACAAATTATTATGATTTTGATAAATATGCAGCGTATGATATGTGCTCATGCGAGAGAGAGAGAGAGAGAGAGAGAGAGAGAGAGAGAGGGGTGGGTATAAAAGAAAGCAAAAATAAATCAATATGTCAAACAAAATGACAATCAAGTTTCATAATACTTAGGCCCACATTTTACTCAAAAGAGTCAAATGTTACCTGTGCATGTCCAAGCATCAAGGTATTATGCTTTGATTACAAACGTAAAAAAAAAGAATAAATATGTAGATTCATTAAAGCTTAATTCTTTAAAATTAGTAAATATGCAGTATATACGCTCTGAAAAAGTCTTGATTAGGGGTGCCCAAACTTTTTCTGTGATATCAGCTGCAATTTAATGTCTAGTCAGCGTCTAAGGACAAGGTTATTTTGATGTCCAATAACAACGTAAAGTGATGTTTATATTTGGTCAGTTTTAGGTTGTGTTAGAAAGTGACCAAAATCCAACGTCGAACCAACATCTTAAACCAACGTCATATTGACATTAAATACTGACATTTATTTATCAGTTATGGCAACCAAAATTCAACGTCTGAAAGATGTCATAGTGGAAACATCCACACAACATCAAGCTGTATTATCATTAGACGTTGATATTTGGTTGCTTTTAGGTTGGACGTTGGACATTGACGTTAGCCTGACGTTTAGTTTTGATGTCAACCTGATTTTCATTTCCAAACAAAATGCTGCGTAGTGCGTACCCATGACATTAGGCTACAAAGTCAATCTGACGTCATGTTGATGCCTGCTGTGTGTTTAAGGCCATTTCGGTCATCATTAGGGATGCATCGATTATAGATTTTGGTTGTTTATAACGATTATAGTCTAAGGAATAATCACGTTTTCACAATTATTATGCATTTATTAATTTCAAAACACTGTTAGTTTAAAAAATCACGTGAAAACTCATATTTTAAAGTGTTATTTATTGTGTCTCAGTAACCAAATAATACAGCACGAAATAATTATAAAAACAAATAATAGTCCATTTAAACAAAATTTGAAATAGTCTATTTACTTAAAATGAGTGAAAAAAAAGTTTTTGGCGTTTAATAAGTAATAATTTTACACTGAAAACAAATGAATAAATAAATACATAAAAACAAGAATAAATAAAAAACTATGTTTGTCTAATGTAAATCTAAGCTGTATATTCGCTAAATCGCGCATGCCACAACTAATATGTGCACGCAAGCTATGCCCCTCCATTGAAAATAAAAAAACTTGCGCACGCAAAACACAGAGGGCCCTATGATACACCCGGCGCAATGTGGCGCAAGGCGCGGCGCAAGGCGCGGCGCAATACTTGTTTGGTATAGTTTCAGCTTGGCGCAAGAGTCGTTTTGAGGCGTTGCGCTACGCTGTTTAAATAGCAAATGCATTAGCGCTCATATGTGCGTCCATAGGCGTTCTGGTCTAAAAAGGAAGGCGTTCTGAGATGCACTGCTGGCGCGTCGCTATTTTGAGAAACTAAAATAGATTTTTCATTAGACCAAAACAAACCCGATCTAAACTCCGGCGCAGAGTTACGCCTCGCTTGCACACTGCTTAATACGCACAAGAGAGCAATAGGCAAATATCTTTACATATGAAAAAAATGTAAATATTAAGGATATATAGAGGATATAATAAGAATAGATATAGGATATAAATATAAAGGATTAAAATATTACAAAACATATTATTTTCTAGCCTACATAAATATGAAAAATCACTGCTTTTATGCCTTCTTCATCTCGGGAGACTTTTTAAGTTCGTTCATAACAATTTGCTTTTGTATAATGTTATTATTATTAGCAGTATTATTTATTATATCCATATTTATATTTGTTTTTTTTTTAAAACTTAGATTTGCCCACCTGTCAGGTTTTAGACCATATGGGGCACAGCATGTGTTTTAGGATATAACTCAGGTTTTTGAACACACTTCGTTAATATTGTTAATTTATTCGTTTGTTGGAATTAGAACTGAATTTATAAATAGAATTTGAAACAAATATTTGTGCTTAACAAACACAATTAATTATTTATAGACTAATTGATGTCTGTGCGTAAAGGTTTCCCCTATCCAAGAGCGAAAGTGAAAGTGATCCATTATCTCTTATTCTCATGCAGTAGATTCTCTGTTTAAGTGTTTTCTGTTAAAAAAAAACGGTTAACTGTTTGCTAGTGAAATGCTCAGTTTTTCCACTTAGACTTACTTCACGTCCTGTAAATAGCGAATTCGCTTATGGCGCGACGCAGCTGGCTCTTAAAGGGAATGGAAGATGAGACTCTAATTGGTTTATTCTCAAAACACACCTATAACTCATTAAGAAAATAAACTCAACCTTTTTAGACCATGCGCTTTGGCGCAAAGCGAATTTTCCTGTCCGTAAATTACCATAAATGCGTTCTGACACGCCCGGAAAGCGTTTGTGCCCTGCGTTTTGCGCTCTGCGCATGAACCTTCAAAATAGAGCCCAGAATATGTTAAAGGCCCTTAGTAAATAGCCTCAGCCATAGTTAAAATAAGCCTTTAATTCAGTATGCGTGCACGATGTATAGGCTCGGAACGTCAAACTAGAGCACAGTTAACATAAGTTTGTTTAATTGCAGTTTGTTCTGTGCAGAAACAGGGTGTTGAGAAGCCTTTACGATTAATTAACCATGACAAATTAAAGTGCAGTTAATATTGATTTTGGGTAACCACTGCATCTCTAGTCATCATACAGTAAACATCCGTCATCCTCTTATCAGTAGCATGCATCACTCTCTGGGTCATTGCGTGTAAAAATTTTGGACATCTTTTTGGACACTTTTAATTCTTTTAAATAGTTTACTGCAATTATAAAACGCTCATGTCTTGAGTTCATTATGATGCAAATTACCTTCAATGTGATTGGACAGAAATCACATGACTAAATTTTCTAATCACCATAGACAAAAAAATTAAGTAGTGACTGCAGGTTGAAGAAAAGTAGAGGAGTAAAAGTACCGATACTGCACTAAAAATGTACTCAAGTAGGAGTAAAAGTACATATTTTAAAAACTTCCTAGTAAATTACAATTCCTTGAAAAAAAAAGTCATGCATTTTTTTGCCTCACAACATAAATACACATTTAAATGCAAAATGAACTTTGCATTTGGGCTAACAAACAAGCCAACAGATATCAAAGCACTTCAATGATATAATAACAAGATGAGAAACATGTATACTTCTGTGTCTACAGAATAATTGTGGGTGTTTTTTAAAAAAAGACACTATTGGCCGTCTGAGGAAATCCCCTCTCTATCCCAACCCCCATCCCATCTCCTCACAACCTTGACCGCTTGGGATCCATGCAAGCTGCTTCCTGTCTTGTGAGCTGTAGCTGTCTCTGAGGAGCCTTGTCCAAACAGACCTAGCCCATGATTACCGGCCGTAGGCCAACGGCTATTAAATCTGCCCCAGATCTTCTCGGAAGAGTTACATTCACATTATGCACAGCATGTCACCTAGAGTGACCGTTCAGACAGAAACAAGGCCCACGGTCACTCCAAATTCATGCATGTGAAATGATTTCAAAATGCCTTATGTTTTAGCTTTGGTTGATGGGGTGAGAACGCTGGCGCACTTTAGACAAAAAGAGCAATTGTGGACGTCAAAGAACTTGAGTGGGATTGTTAATGCGTGTCTGGTTTTGGAATGCCAGCTATTTCCCAGAAAAATCGTTTAACAACGCGTAGCCTAGCTTGAAATGCCCTTTAATATCAGAGCCATCTTGGTTTTTAGTGAAGAACAAAATATGAATATATTCATTTGTATCAGATAAAAGTGCTGACTTTCCTGTTATGAGATATGAACACCAAAGCAGCGCCAGTGCACAATGAAAATCTTCTGAAACGTTTATCATGGCTCTAGAAGGAAAGGCGGCAATAAATGTGGTTTACACGAGAAGAATGCTTGAGGTGGAGACTGTTTGAACTGTAAACAAAATGTCACATGAATAAACGAATAAAGGCTCTTTGTTTGGCATAGACTGAAATCTTGTGATGAGATGCATATCATCAGATCCCTTTTGAAATAAAAAACAAATACTTTATTATGTTGAATTATATAATACATTCTACTAAATATGATGAAAATGTAAAGAGTGCAAGACATTAATACATTAACAAACATTAATAACCCATCAATAGCAGTAATATCCTGTGTAATTTGAATTCTTTTTCAAATACTAAGTGCTGCTTATTAAAGAAAATGTTTTCAACATATGTTTAAAGTTAGTAGTTTTAATAATTAATTCCTAATAACCTATTTCTTTAGTCTTTTCCATGATGACAGTCCATTATATTTTACTAGTTATTTTGCAAGATAACTTCAATTTAAAGGTTTAACTAGTTTAATTAGCTGAACTAGGCAAGTTTTTGTTGAACATCATTTTGTTCTGTACCCAGTCAGGGGAAAAAATTAAGTGGGCTGATAATATTGACCACAGCACTGTTTTTTTTTATGTTTCATTCCAGCCAAAGAAAAAAAGACCTCCAAAAGGAAAAATATACTAAGAAACTCTAGGAAACAAAAATTAGCTTGCTCTGTTAAACATCACTTGGGTTAAACTTTCACAGGAGGGTTAACTATTTTGTCTTTAACTGTATAAAAATTAAACTAGCAGGATTAAGAATTAAGATAAAGATTTAGGATATTATAAGACATTAAGGCCCAATCCCAATTCATCCGCTTAGTCCTTCTCCTTAGGAAGGGG